ATTGTGTCAAGCATATTTGTATATCTTTTGCCATCATCCTTCTCAAAACATCTGCTTTCTACTTGAGCCCTTGGTATCTTTATTCTACCTACCCTCATCTTGTTTCCTAAGTAAGCCTCCTCGGTGCGTGCGGGTCCACAGGAAGGGGCAGTGGGATCTCCTGGAGAGACAGAGACTCACTAAAAGCAGATGGGAGGTTATGAGGAGGAGGACCAGGGCAGCAGAAGCCCTTCAAAGCCAATGTAATCGCTCATCAGGCAAAAGAGAAATGAGCTTTGCCTACATAATGGAAACAATCTCAATCACAGACTCCTCTCCCTCCACTCGACCCCCGCTTTTTTTTTTTACTGTTCTTTCCTGTGCTCAGGGCTGGAAAAAAGATACTGCAAAAGCATCTTTGAACTATGAGTGGCAAAAAGTCACAGACTCCTCTCCCTCCACTCGACCCCCCCTTTTTTTTTTTACTGTTCTTTCCTGTGCTCAGGGCTGGAAAAAAGATACTGCAAAAGCATCTTTGAACTATGAGTGGCAAAAAGACACAGGTATCGAAAGTTACTCCTGATAAAAAGAGTCTAAGTAGAGTGTACCTTTGTAAAAATTATAAAATTCTCATGAAACCTACAATAGGTAAAACAAATGAAAATATGAAATCTAGCCCTTGAGCAGACTTGAGGCTTTTGATAGCCAAAGTAGAGAGACAAAATGTTTCCCTTGCTCTCTTTAGAAGCGACCACACCTACCCCTCCCTTATCGACAATCTTCTCATCCAACGTTTCACATTTACAATGGGGAAAAAAATCTACTGTGCAACTATTTTGAGCATTATTGATACACATCTAGCAGTAATGAGTACCAAGGTGCGAGGTAAGGGTAGCGCTGGCTGAGATGGCTAAGGTCCTGTGTCAGCTTGGCAGGATTATGATGCTCAATTTTTTTAAATGATGGAATCGTCATTTGGCCATTATAGAATGACGCCATCATCCTCCATTTCATGATTTGATGTGGTCATCCTCCATTTTTACATAATTCCAGTTTTCCCATAAAGATTCGGTCTTTGGAACCTTACCATGTAGAAAAGTGAGCACGGGGAATACAGGAAATCAAAGTTAAGTAAATAGTTATAAACATCAGTTAAAATTTAGTGTGAGACGATACAAATTTACCTTTTCTCTCCTTCCTTAAATCTCATTTACATGACAGTAAAGAAGCACCAAAAAAGAAACTCTACTACAGCACTAAGAATAGAGATCTGACTAATTTCCCTAAGACACTGAAAGACGCAACAGTATGTACAGACAAGGCAGAATAGATCGCTGCGCTCAGCCCACACAGATGCAGTGAAGGCTGAACGCATTCCCCCCATACAATCCCAAAGGGACTTTCACAAGCAGATGAAATCCCCACAGCTTTCAGCAAAACTATGTACAGGCAATAATCATCACACACTTGAAAATCCAAAACACAAAATAATCTTTAAAAGAACAACACTGCTGTCAAATGGATCAAGTTGACTCCACCCCACAGCAACCATATCAGGAAGAGTGGGAGGGCTGCATGGAATGCCCGCGGCAGGAACACTGTCTAGAACTTTCTCTGGCAGGGCCACTAGTCAGCCTGAGTGAATGCACTTTGGATTGGCAGCTGACTGCTTTTGAACCCTGCACCACAAGGGCGCCTAACACACAAAACAGGAGCCTGAAAGAGCAGCAAACACAAATGACCCAGGAGGAAAGACAGAGAACAAAGACTGTTTCTGAAAAGTCTAATGCGTTTTCCCAGAGTCATTAAAATTACTGCAGCTAGAAAACAACAGTGAGGAAGAGCAAAGAAGCCAAATACACCACAAAACGGTACATCAAACTGATAGTAGCAAAGCCAAGCCTATCAATAGTGACACTGAATGTCACTGATTAAGCAGAGCAGTAAAGAGATAAAGACTGGATAAGAAAACAACAGGCTGCAAAATAAAAGAGCAGTGGTCATAAAATAGGAAACAATAATTAGGAAATAAAATTCATATTGCCAAAATGAGCACAATTTAGGGTTTACACTAATTTAGGGTTACACAATTTAGGGTTTACAACTTAGGATTCACACTAGAAAAAAGACAAAGAAATGGGGACGATTAGAGTAAAAAGTGTCAACACATAGAAGATCAATCTAGGATATTCTAATTATTTGGTTAACAGGAATTCCAAATAATCCCCAAGAAGAAATAATCAAAGATACATTGTGGGGCTTCGAAAATCTGTGAAAAAAGCCCATTATCTTTTAATTCCATTTTTCCACAAGTTATCTAAAGCCCCTTATTTGTCCAACAAAAAAGGACACTGGTGTTTAGCCTGAATGGAGTCCAATATACAAAAAAGAACAAGGGGCAAATAATTTTAAAATTGGCACCCAAACTATCAAAGAAGCATGAAAGTATAATACAGATTTTTTTAAAGGTCATTTTACTGGGGACTCTTACAGCTCTTATAACAATCCATGCATCAATTATATTAAGCATATTTGTACATATGTAGTGGACTTTTTAAAACATGTATTTAAAAACATAATTTTCAAAATATTAAAAAGTTTACCTCACATACATTTTCTGGGAGAAAAAAAAATCCCAGAAGGTGGAAGGTATTTATTTCAAGACATAACCCTTACCCAGAAAAAGAGTCAAGGAGGAACTCCAGAACAATGGCTGTACAAAGAGGGAGAAGACATCCGAATGCTTTCAAGAAGAATGAAGATTCATTTCAATAGACACAAATACTAGGAATTCATTCTTGTTCTAGCAAAGAGAAAAGCAATTACAAACTGAGAAAATCAAAGAGGTGCATTATTTACTTATGGTCCCAATAAGTATAAGCTAAAAAAACATGATTTGGGATGAACAGCAGAATATAAGAAAATAGGTGGTATTGATGCTTATAGCATTTCCCTTGATGTCACATATCTAGTGACATAGAATTACTAATCCTTTCTTACAGATTCAATCATAAAATGTGGTTCTACAGGGTATAATGTTTATTTAAAATATTTACAGATTCAAAATATTTGATATTTACAGATTCAAAATGTTTACAGATTCCATCATACAACTTTGTTCTACAGTAAGTAAATTTTATATTTTCAAAATATTTACTAGAATTTCAAATCTATAAATCAGGCACATATAATGTTCTGTATTATAGTCACAAACAGACTACCATAAAACTTGACAATATATGTTATATGTAATATGATAATATGTAGTCAGAGACTACAAAATGAAGTGGAAAAAGAAAAAGATACCAATTTCCTCATTTTAGATATGGATAAAGTTGAACTTCTTTACTGTATATTTTATTACTTTTCTGACAAATTTCTAAATTATAAGATGCTGTGCCAACATGCATAAATATGGCTTTGTTTAGTTATAGGGAAGAGGGCATCACTTCATCCCCACTATAGCCAAACACTGTTAGAGTCCCAATGTACTTCACTAACCTTTGTTGTACATTGATCTTTCAGGCCATGATGTATCGGTTGGTCTTAAAACCAAGTGTCTGATTTCAGAGAAATAAACTAACACCAAAAAATACTGACAATTCTTGTACAGGTGAGAATAAACCTTGTGTTACAAAAAACGTATGTGTATGGATGTTTGTTCCTATGGTGTAAAATGCATTTAATACTGAGTATAGAGGGTGTTTTTTTTATTTTTCTCTCTCCTTCTCTGCTATCAGCTCTAAGGTGTCACTTGCGTCAGCAGTTCTGCCTCCATATAGTCACTGTTCCCACTGTTGTTAAGAGGCCATCAAGGCAGTTCTGGCTCCTAGCGAGCCCCCGCCCATGTACAAAAGGAGGAGGCAACCCCATGTACAGCAGAAAGCAGCACCCTCACAATTGTTATGAGTGATCCCATCGTTGCAGTCACTCTGTCAATCCACCCAGAGTGTACAGATTCTACCTACCAAGACAGAGAAACCAGACTGAATTCATCATTTTTCCCACCCCCTCCAATTCTGCCCCAGCTCCAATATTCCTTGTGTCTAGGAACACCTGACTCACAGCCCCCCTTACCCACAACAGAACAAAACACTTGCCAGTGCAGCAACTTTCCTCACAATTATGTGTGAGTTCATTCTCTAGGTACCAAGGACCGTCCTATATAGTAATTTCATGGGAAAATCTTACCCCATCCACCCTGCATCCCTGATCTTGCCCCTTCAGACTTACTCCCAAAACCCAGAGAACATTTAAAAGGACGATCATTTAAAATGAGTCCCTTAAAATATGCCTAACCTGCTCTTTGTGACCTGGTGTTAAGTTGGAAAGCACAGAATCTGTGGGTTTGACATGGAAATACCCAGGAGGATATGCTGAGAAACAACAGGGTCACCTTTTGAGATTTTTAATAAGGTTTCTGACTTTTGTAGCAATATCTTTAGCCATACCCCTGTAGATACCAAATGGGTTGATGAAAGACCTAGAAACAAAATTGACATCTCCTAACCAAGAGACAAGGGAAATCTCAGTCATTTCCCTAATTTCTCCCTCCTGCTTCCTACTTTGGGGGCAGCCACACACATATTTAATATTCAACTATTATGTGACAGGAAAATTCTTTGCACTGACGCTTCTCCGACACGGCAATGCTGAACACAAAACCCACACATGTGCTCCAACGAAATACAGTCAATCTCTCTTGCTCTTTGGCGTCTCTCCATCCTTTCTGAGCATTCCCTGAACTGAAGGAATTGCATTTTACTGATGTGATTG